TCGAAGCCACCTAGGATCACAGACCCACAGCCAAGTGTTTGGGGAGTCTGCAGCCACAACAAACATGCCGAAGTGCTGGAAAAATGCTGCCAATTGCAAGGCACGAAATCTCACAGCTCGTAAATCGATGGCAATTCCCTGCAGAGTCGAGGGACATATCTACACAGGAAGAAATCTGTCATTGCCTATCTAATCGGTTAAACTGTAGATACATATATACCATTTTAAGCCCTAAGCAAATTTCAGAAGCTAGGTCATTAAAATCTCGGTTTAAAACTCTGTCAGTAGTCAGTACTAAAGATTTATTTGAGTTCTCAAGAAGTTTTGTTATAAAATCTCAAACTAATGGACAAGTGATTTATTTCTCCCATATTTCCAATTTTAATTTCAATAATAGTTTGTGAAACAAAAAGTTTCCATTGGAAATAAAAAAAATGGTATACTTTTTCCCTGTGTAAGACAAACCCCTCTGTATGTTTTGGGGCGTCGCCTGGCGCGCGAATTATGCCACCAACGAGCAAGCAAATGCGAAATCTTTTTTCGGCTCACTTCGCTTGTTTTCCTCCTCTAGCCGCGCCAACTGCATTTTTCACTCTGCTTTCTGCCAAATTGCAATTGGAGACTTTGCCAGTTGCAACTCGGAGCTAGATACTTGCAACTGGCGATGCTGCACGTGCGCCGTATCAGAAACGAGTTTTTGCTACTTTAATTTGGCCAACCGCATGGTGGCAGCGGCGGCTCGTATCCAAAAAGATAACTGCTGGCAGGCTGGAAAAGCTGGAAAACCATGCTGAAGGACATTTGGTGTCTATGGCAAATGAGGCGGAAAAACTGCGAGAAAACAGAAATTGCCACAGACCGAAGCACCCAAAAGAAAGGTAAAACAAAAAGCCAGGCAGATACCACAAGAAAAATCCGAAAAGAAGATAAGAATACCTGAAGGTTAAGACTCTGTGTTACCTTTCATCTTTATGAAATTATTTATATTTTTACTTTTGAAAATATAGAAAACAAAAATTAGTTAAACAAGCTCATAGATCTGACCTAAAATTAAAGTCTATTCCGATTGTTTTTAAATTAGTGCCTCGTAAATGCTTTTGGCATTTAGTTTAAATGTTTCAAAGTTCTTAAGTAAGTAATACACCCCGAAACTCTTTTACAGGGAATAGCTTGCCTTGAATACGGAAAAACGAAGGCAAAGGCAACTGTTTGGAAAATTGTATCGAACTATCTGCGGCTTGTTTGAGTTTGACTTGCAGGCTGTGTTTTCCTTCAGCCGACTGGCTCCTTCGGCCAAAGTCAATTTTACAAGCAATGAACTCGAGATATTTTCTGCGATCCTCATTGTGTTCCTCTCCTCTTGAGTTTTTCTGCATTTTTGCTCCGAGCACTTTGCTGGCGTCAAAAGTTCTTTTCTGTGGCGTTAGTTTCAACTAGGGCCGAGACACGCCCACTAAATTGCCAGCATATTTGCTGCCAAAGAGATGGAGAGCTGGTCTTACTCAGGCCCTCCCGTTCCCCGACTTTGTCGCTTTGGCAGTACGTTAAAATAGCTCAAGTGGTTGCAGCTAAGCGATAGGAGGGGGCGGACGAGAAAGAGGCGTGGCGGCGGTAGAGGGGCATTCAACCTAGTCCACACACTCACATTCTTTCGTTCCTCGGTGCCTTTGGCACAGTTATGCCTGCACTGAGAACAAACAGATGTACCTAAATTTGTAAAAGGAAATCTCAAGATAGGTGAATCAAGAAATAAATAGGGAAATAATACTATACAATGTTAAAGGCGTTAAGTTGCTTAAGTGTTATCTTTTACAGGGTCACTTAATCAGTTGGAAACTTTGAAATAAATTTATTATGAATAAATAAATAAACCATTTAAATTTGTAACAAAAAAGAAAATCTTGAACTTTTATGTCATTTAGAAAGTATTTTCAGGCATTAAAATCACTCTTTTCGCTTGTCCTTGCTTAAATAAATTTCCAATAAAATGTTCATTTACTTTAACCAGTTATAATTCAATTAATAGAATATATGGAAAATGGACTATCATATTCCGAACTACTATAAATAACTTTTAATTACTAAATACTCAAGCTTTTTTTGCTGTGTGGGCACTGGTGTTCTTTAAAGGCTGAGTCCGCATTTGGACATGAGCTGCCGAGGAACTCAGGCACCTTCTCAACTAAACTCAAGTCGACTGGATTCGCACCAATTGAGCTGTGATTTAAGTACGCCATAAATGGTGAAGTGCGAGATTGAGATACTCGAACACTTCAATTTGGACCTGGCATACGGGTTCTTACCTGCAACAAAAGAGAAAGAGAGGAGGCATGAGATAAGTTTGCTCAATAATGGCTAATCGTTAGTAATATGGGGTCTTCACAACAATGCTGGTATTCCAGCCACCCTCCCCCCCAAAATTCAGATCATCATAATTATTATATCCGTTGTGGACGATGTTCGAGGGTTTACCACCCGCTTCAGTGCTCAATTCAAATATACATTCTATATTCACATACGGCGGTTTAAAACAAATTGACGCAAACTAATGAACATAATCTGCAGCCACATATACACAGTCACCGGAAGTGCTTCATTGTTCGGCGTTGGGGCGTCGGAAATTGAAAAGCAACCCAAAACCAGCATCAAATTTAAATTTGCAAAAAAAAAAAAGAGAGAGAGAACAAAATAAAGTGAAGCAACATAAAAGTCCCATTAAAAATTTAGTTAGAGGGCAGCTCAAACAGAAATGGCACACACATGAAGAGGAAATTACATTTATGCGAGTGTTTTTTGTGTATTTTTGGAATTGAACTTGCGTTGTTCAATTTGCCTGCAACACTTGAGCGCTCTTAAAACGCTTTAAACTTTCCGCGCTGTTAACATTCGTAGTTCGTCACCTCGTTTGTTTGTTTTTTTAGCGATTATTTCATTTATATTTCATGGTTTTTTTGTGATTTTATTAAACAAGCAAAACTTTTAATTTAGTGAACGATTTAAGAGGTTTATTTACCTTCACAGGTGTGGTAAAACTTTGAGAGTTACAGTATTTACACAAGTATTCAACGATTTATTATTTAGTTTTTTATTAAAAGCAATTATTTAGCATAAGCTTATGGTAATGGATTTGAAACCTGTAAGTTATAAAGTTGGGTAACTTATAATCATTTTTAAAACGCCAACTCAAATGCATATTTTAAATTACTAGAAAAAGCTGTTTTTGCGAAAAGAAAAAATGACTATATTTTTCAAGTGTTATTATCATCAATCCAGAGTTAATTATTTTCTCTTTGAAATTTTTTTTTATAATAACTTAATTCAGTATAATATATATAAGCAATTTAAGCTCGATTTTAGATATTATATTGATTTTCAATGTTATTGATTTTTTACTATATATGGTTACAGTGATGCATTAAAAAAAATCACAGTTTTAAAAGGACTGTAACTAATGGTTTTGTTTACTTTCTGCAATTATCACTGGCCTTTATTTGCTGACAGTTTGACTGTCGCTAAGGGTGGCTTATTTTTTCGCTAAAATCAAATCACTACAATTGCTGTTTGCTTTTGTTCGAGCCGTAGCACTCCCTCATGATTTTTTTTGTTTCGCTATTATTGTTCAAGTCAATTACCTCGCTTTATGCAACTTTCATTGATACATGAAGCGATAAAAGAAACACAGAAACAATTTTAATTTCACAGTCAAGGTCGTTTGGAGGGCGACTTACACAATTCGATTAGTCGGGCGGACTTCATTTACAAAAGTTGGATGAACCGTTGAATTGTTAGCCAAAAAATATGACTTCAAAAAAATTAACAAAGCCGGGTTTTGTCCCCTTTATATCCTCAAATAATTAACAACCTGAGAAACAGCATAATAAATGGTTATTATCAACGTGATTCCCGGATTCACATAGACATAAAAGTAAAACAAACAGTCAAAACAAACAAAGTTTCACCGGAATATTTGGATTTTTTGTTGTTGTTGTTTTGCAAGTTTGTAAATTATTTGTTTGCCTGCTGATAAAATGTCAGAAATTTTTGTTGAAATATTCTGTGGTCACAGTCTGTTCACGATAATGTTATCGAGAACTGTCCGCAGGCAAAAAAGAAACCACTCACAGTGGTCATGGATACATATCCATTTGTAGCCCCCCTCTCCACCATTTAATATCTCTTTTCTTGCTCCATTTGCGAATGCCTGAAGCGCTATTTTCCTTTTTCCTTTTTTTGAATTTTAATTGAATTACAAGGGAGGAGTTGGTGGAGATTGGGTGCTCCGGAGGGGGTCGAGGTGTATGGAAAAGCAGTTCCTGGTCGCGTGTGTTGGGGTTTGGCGGCGTTAGAGGGGTCCTCCGACTCCCAGCCATAAATCTGTAACTGTTTGCTGTACTTGACACATTTCGTAGTTGGAGCTGAAGTTGCCTCGTTGTCTCGCTGGTGGAAAAACAGCGAAAAACGAGTGTTGCAACTTGCAACCAAATATTTGCGTAGGTGTTCGACCGACTGTCGCTGCGGGTTTCATGTCAATTAAAATTAAACTTAAACTTTAAAATTAATAAAAACATATTGCAGCAATGAAAGAGAATGTCTTACAGTAAAATAATAAAGTAAGATACCATAAGATACAATCAAATAGATTATGTTGATGAATTTAACAGCCCCATAAAAAATAATAACAATATAATTTTGATGAAGCAATTTATAACGTTAAATAAAGAAAGAGCTTCTAATTAATTCTTTAAATACAAATGCTTGAACCCAAGTAAGCTTTTTCAGTTCAAATTGAAAAACAAACTGATGCATTTTCTCCATCAATAAAATGTTGCACAATTTCGATATAATAAAAATCATATTTTCCCCCTCAACTGATTGATCTTTTAACTTCAGTCTTTCCAAGCAATTAAACATTCCCTTGAGGGCTGCAAAAATGAATTATTCATGGTATTATCTTGGCATATGTGTAAGTATTAATGGGCGTATTATAGCCAGCCACCCACCTTAAACCAAAAGGCAACCTGTGCCAATTATTCGCAGGGATTGCCAGAAGACGAGAGCATCAGACAGCACAACATATCGGATCAGATGCGAGTCAAATATTGCGGCGTGTGAATTTAATCAGTATTTATTTGTTTATTGATTCCAACGCAGTGCAGCAGGTCAGATTGCGTATACGCAGCGTGGGTGGCCACAGCATTTCCATTTAACAGTTTGTTGAATTCATCCACAGTTGTCCACGTGGGTTTATTTTGTTTCACGTTTTAATTTTTAATTTGTTTGATATTTAATTAAATAAAAAACGCCAGGAGCAGCACCGAAATTAATGAAAACAAAACATTTTAATTAATAACGAGGAATCTTGTTGCTCGCGATGGTTGATGTTGTTGTGGATGTCATGCCGCATAACAATGTTCTCGGTTTATGCATGTAAATGTACTCTTGTACATACACACTCACTTCTATATACATATATGGCATTTACATGTTTAGCCTACATATATTTTACATATCACGCATACGCAATGTAAGCCCGGGTGAACAAGGCAAATGTCATAAAACTCTTTTTTATGAATTTCATTTAGTTTAAGTTTATTTTTTGTATACTTTATGATGCCTGCATGCTGTTGTGTTGTGAATTTTTTTGTTTGTTGTGAATTAAAACATGAGAAATTTGCATACAGCGAGTGGGATTCTCGAATATTTATGCGTACTTTACTATATGCCATGACCTTTACATGCCTTAAACATATACACATTGTTCCCTGCGCCATCAAATGGTTATAAAACTTTACCACTTCATTGTTCCCAGTCTTCCTTTTGCCTTTCCCATTTTGCTCCTAGTAGAGAATTCAATCTCAGCCAAGGACTTACCCAATCGAGTGCAGGGAGCTCTCTATCGGCAGCATCTTTATTGCTGCGAACAATGGTTTCAGCTTGGCAGGAAGCCTTTTCCTCCGAAGGGAGCGAAATTATCCACAAAAGTATGTGACATTCTGGCGTTTTGCTAGGCGGCCGGAATGAATAATGCGATGGCGGGGGCCAAGTAAAGTTCTCACCCAAATTAACGGTTCAATGGAGGAGGGGAGACAGGCCCCCAGATATAGACGCAGATGGGTCCTGCAACTGGGTCTCTATGCCACTTAAGCTGAATGAGAGATGGAGGAGAGAGGAGGGGTTCGGGGTGCGGGAGTGGGACAAAAAGTCGCTGAAATGATGTCGTGCGTGCGCAAACTATGCGGCGTCATTAAATCTAACGAGCGCCTAGAGATTGAATGGGCGAGAAGTACAAGGGGGTTCCTATACACACACAAGTGCTGGGCAAAATGTCTATATTTTGAAAATTTTCGAGGCAGCGCAAAAGTTTTCACAGTAATTCTCCCCAAAAGACATTTAAGCAGACAACTCTCTGTATGTGACTCGAAACTACACATTAAGTCGGCTTAATTAAGGGATTGGCCATTAACTAAGCCTAATTGCCATTGTCAGTTTTAGCTCAAGATTTATTGTGTTTATTCTAGACAAAAATGTCTTCAATTGATTAAAGTTACAGGGGTCGTAAATAAAGTGCTTGCAGGGGAATATCTTTCTTTGCCAAACATTTTCACGCTTGCGCTAACCACATTCAAACACTTGGCTAAAAGCCATTTTTGCAATCCTTTTTGCCTCATGCACTTTGGGTTATCCTGTCTGTCTGTCTGTCTATCCTTGTTGGAAAGTTAAGAGCATTCGATTAGAAATCCCCTTTGAATGCTTTAGTCTTTGGCTGATTTATGGTGGGATTGCACTTTGTCGAACTAAGTTAAAGTTTAAGTTACAGCAAAGTTTTGTAAATTAAATTTAAAAAAGTTTCTTTTAAGTTAAGAAGCAGCCAAATCAAGTTAGGGCAACAATTTAAAAGCCATTTCAATATAGGTATACATTGTGAAACAATATTTAAAAAATCTTAAAATAATTGTGAAACAAATGAAACTTATCCCTCCCTTATCGTAATTCCATTAAAAATGTGCCCTACACGTATTTTCCATTGCTACCTTAGACCAAAATTGAGCCACCAAGAAATCCATATGCGGCTAACCTTTCCTTACTGGTTTCTTATCGCCACGAGCTACAGTTGTTTATTAACTGAGCTGAACTTCGGGCCAAACAAAGCCCGCGGAGCATTACAAGCAAAACAACTTAGATGCAAACCGGTAAGTAACGCCCACCCAGAAAGCGAAGCAAAACCCAGCTAAAAGTACAAAAGCGAATACAGATCAGAAAAGCTTCAATTTCGATTTGATTAGCAGGCGGAAGTCGAGATGCCAAGAGACCCACACACAACTGCAAACTAGAGCAGCGACATATTGGCTGAGTGACTGACTGATAGACGGGCTGACTGATTGATGGATGGTGTGAAGTTTAATTAAAGCTACGAATGATCAACGTGGATCGGTCATTGAAAGCGAATTCCACGCCAGACCTAATAATACATTTATGGACCCCGTCGCCATCGTCAGGTGTCCCGATAATGGCCATCCGACGACCGATAAAATGTGAAATTACTGCCGCTCACGTTTGTCTTAGTCCCCGGGATTTACTTAACCATTCTTCAGTTATCAAAGGCTCTCAAAAGGTTGAGCAAAATGCAGAGAAGAAGAAAGACCTCAATTGGATTGCAAATATTTGTGAGATGATAGCATGAATCGTATTCTTTATGACCGGCTATATATGGGTACGTTTATAGGGTTCTATGTTCGCTCGCAAGAGAAAACCCGCGATAAGATATGCGACCAGTTCGCTGATTGATATACGACTGTGGAAGCAGGAAATGTGTCGATAACCTGATATGCTCTTACGTTTTTAAAACAAAACACCAGGTGAAAAGCTCATGGGAATCAAGAATATTTGGGGTTCAATAACCAAATAATTTAGTATAGACAGAAACTACTACATTAACTTGACGGAATTTTTTAAAGAAATTAAGTCACTGAAAAATGTTTCCCTGTTCACAGAAGTAATCTTTAAAATTAGAATTATTTTAATCTTCATTTTGTAGAATTTATGGCAGCCTTATAGTTTCTTTGACTTATCGACATTTTATATTAAATCGTATAATTTATATTCAGAGACTCATTAATGGAAGCCAAACATTGCCCACAAGGAACTTTATGAAAAGTATTCCCAAAAGTACGGTAATAAAACAAATAGAGATTCATACCTCAGCTGGGTTCTTGAAAAGCATAAAAAGATATTAGTAGTTCGTAAATCAAGTCTCAAATTAAATTCCAAAAGCAAACACAAGCCATTTTTGATTCAGAACCTGCCAATGTTTACCGAAAAAAGAGTTTGAAAAGCACAGCCAGAATTTGGTTCCCACACCCGATCAAAATTTACAACATAATTTAGTATGCTGCAAGCTGACACTGCAACCAAAATAGCCACGCCCCCTCGCCAAGAGCCGCCCCCGAAAAACGAAAACAAAAACAAGGCAGAGTCCGTCACTTGCCGCGTTGAATTTGAATTGACCAAATCGAAAACGGAACCGCCACGAGAGACCGGGCCATGCAATTAGCTGGGGGTCATTGTGTTCGGTTCAGCGCAGTTCAGTTCGAATCGATTGCAGTGCGATTTCGAGTTCGGTGTCAGATTAGGTTTCAGTATTGGTTTTTGGCTGGGATCTGGGGTCTGGGTTTCGCACCGAGTTTCCGTTTGCAATTTTGCGGTTTCAATACTGAAATGGGCGCAGCCCCCGCATTGGATTTGCGTTTGACAATGTTTCGACAGCAATTTGCTCAACAAATGGTTATTAAATGTATACAATTGATTGGCCATTGTTTGGCGTTCATTAGCACAAAGGAGAGTAAAAGTCCCCAATTTCCTTGCCCAATTTGCGGAACTCTACGATTACTGAGGTGAAATGTTATAAACTTTGAGGTGTTGAACCCTTGAATTCGAATCGTTTTTAAGTGCTAATGAGTAAATTAAGTAAATTATTATAGGCTATTGACCAAAAAGAAAAGAACATAAAGGTTTTATTATTTCTTAGTCCTTAAACGGTTTTTTTGTCTCAGAGATTTGCTTTTTTTAGCTACCAAATTCACAATGGTTTATATTTAAGCCATAAAGTTTGTTGACCTTAAAAACGAATACTTCTAGATTTGTTAATATTAGCTTAAATTTTTTTTAATACCAATCGTATAGAAGTCACCGAATTTCCCTGCTATTGACTCTAACCTTCCTTCTAGTTGTTTTTTTTTCTTCCTTGACAGACTGCCACTCAGATGTCAAATATCTTTGAATCTGCAGCGTCACGATTTCAGGCTGGGCGCACGACTTCAGACACAGCAGTTGCCGGAAAATTGCATTGAACTTCAAAAAATTGAAACTTCACGAGGGCATTTGGCAGCCATTCGAGGGCAGGGGCGTGGTCGATTTTATGTTGTAAGGGCACGTGGCAGATTTTAGGCGGATTAAATTTCAATCAACAACTGCTGGTGAAAAATTGCATTGCAATTCTGCTGTAATTGCTTTTCTGTGTGGGTCATCGAAATAAATTTAGTTACAATGAGAATTTCTTCACTTTGAGGCCAGAAAGTCAAATTGATAAAATTCGATATTCATAAGTCATTGTTTTAATTCATTCCTAGTTTCTTTTTTCCATTATTTCCATTTCCTACTTGATACAAATTTTAAGATCAACTGATCTTTGCATTCAAGAGTCTCGACCAAAATTCATGTAGAAATTAAAAAAAGTTTTGTTCACCCCAAAGTAGAGTATTTTTAGCAGCATGTTTTTTAAGAGGTGTTGCTTTTGTTTGCCCCTGAACGTAGGTTGCATGATCATTGGCGGGATCTTCATAGCTTTCCACTTTGGGGAGCTGATAACGCATACGAATGACACGATATTTATCAGGGAGGTTTCCCACAAATCCTGGAGTCCCATCGTCATGTCTCCGGTTCTGGTTTTTGGAACTATAAGCTCTATACTTCTCGTATATGCGGCCTCCAAGGTGAGAGGAATAATATACGCTTTTAGTTAGAGGCTTTGTATTAACTATTTATTATTTAGCAAAAGCGAGGGTTTGTCCTTCTCTGGTTAATCTTATATATCATTATACTCTTCGTGTACTTTATATTGGCCGTTATTCAGTTAGTAACGAATAAACCTCCTCCAATCATATTGACAGTCCAGATGGTGATAATAGGTGGGTATTTTCACCATTTATTAGAATATTAATCGTTCTTAAACCTTATCCCCGTAGTTGGCCTGGTATATTCCCTGATGGTAGTGCATGCTTACTACAAATATCTTAATGCTGTGGGTTATGAGGATTCAATTTGACTTACTGCCGCTTGATCTAGTCATCATATTTTAATTTGTCGAAGAAGAGAAATCTTACAGTACTGCAAATCAGATTTACTGATCATAATATAGAAATTATTCGTTTAAAATTTGTGGAGCGCTTTTGTTTTAACCATGGCGTGTCGCTGCAGATATATAAAACAAATTTTTACCAAGTGCTGCTTCTGCTATTCTCTGCGATTCGGGGTGCTGCTCTTCGGCTGCATCTTCCTCACCTGGTTCCTGTACATCACAATCGGCACCGGCTTCATGATGGAGTGCATCTTCCCGGCGGAGTACCAGAGGGGCGTCTTTGCAGCACCGGCTGCCCTAAAGGCCACCATGGTTTTCTCCTTTTTCGGGATCATTGCATCTGCCATGCTCTGCATTGGAGTGCATAATGTAAGTTACGTTTAGGGAATTAAAGAAAATCGGTTTTTAACCAAAGAAATTATTCTTTGCTTTTGGTTAAATAACTTCAAAAGTCGGCCAAGACAACATTGAGCCCAATGTTTAAAGTAGAGTTTATTGAATCCCTAAAGTGTACCTTATGGTAAGATTCTGGTTCATTTCACATTACTTTTATTTTCCTTTAGATTTACTTCTATTAGAAATTTTTTTATAAATGTAACCTATTTTTCCATTCAGAACAATGAGATGCTCTTTTTACCCTTTCTGGGCTTTACGCCAATTTGGATACTGGTTCACATCCTGGCTTTGACCGTCTATTCCTTTAATTGGGTTATAGTAATCCTGACAGTCATTACAATGTGTGGGTTTTATAACATTTTTTAAATGAGCCTTGATTACTAACTAATCGTTTGATTTCCTTATAGTTGTTTTACTGTACGCCTGGTTTGTGGTTTGGTCTTACTACGTAGAACTTCTATTCGCCTACGAGGATGAATTGGAAACCGGTTATGTCTAAGATCGGAAGTTAAGTGTGCAATGCAGTCGGTTTGATGTTTTTGACTGTACAATATATACAACTTTCAGAATAAATTACTGTCTCTTAAAATTATAAAACTCAAAATTGTCATTCCAATATTTTTTTTAATTTGTAGTGAAATAACCAAGCATAAGGGATTAATATTAATTTAATGGGTTTTTTTTTAAATACCCATTAGATCGTAATTGAAAAGGGCCAAATTTGAAATGTTTTTCCCTGTTTAGTGAGTTTCTAGCGCACATGAGACATGCACTGCTCTATATACACTGAGAGATAATGATAATCGCTTTGGTAATGACAGTGACCGACTTACCTTCGGCAGCGAGGCGAGCACCTGCTGTTTGACATCCCAGACGAGCCGCTCCGATGGGAACTGCAGACACTTGTAGACATTCAGCTCCGGCACGTGGATGCGCACCAGTAGCCATCCGTCGCGCGGTTCCGGCGGCGGCTCATCGTCAAACGCCCCCGGCCCGGACATGGCGTCCGTATTGGCCGGGTTCTGTTTGACCTTGGGCGTGGGTGGGTGGTACGTCGTAATTTTGGCGGCTTTCTTTCACTCTCTCCACGAAAAAAACGAACCTGCTCCCTCTCCTTTGGGAGTTCTCGTCGTTGCCGCTTCCTGTTTGCGTTCTTATTTCGCACTTCAAAGTATAATTCTATTGGCTCTTCTAAATATTTGTATGTTTGTTTAATTTTTGTATTGGCAATCTATTTAATGGGTCGGCTGGTTTGGGCCTTCTGCTGATGGAATCCGTTCCGCTTGGACATTTCGCTCAGAGGTTTTCGTAGAGTCTGTAGCATGATGGTTCTGAAATGTTACAGAAATAAATTATATTTTAATTAGTTACAGCACTTTCAAAAAAGATATTTCTTATTTTGGTATAAAATATATATGAAATAATTACTGAAATTAAATTGAGTTATTCCCTTTATAATTTCAAACAAATGTGTATGCCCACACAATTGTAATGGCCATTAAAAGATGCTTCCTGTCCGGCATTAAAAATAAGTCGTAAATAATAGTAGTACTTTTTTCAATTAGGCCATGAAATGTCTCTACTTTCGTTTCCCCTAAATGTATTTGCATGAGAATCGTATTTATATATGCAAAAAGGAAACCATTTAACCAGACAGAAAACTTGTTTGCACAGCACTTAGAGTTGAAAACTTAATTTTTAAATTGGTTTACTTTTCCAAAACCTCGACAGCAGTTTTCCTACGCACTTGGTATTAGCAGTCAATTGGCTCCGCTTTTCCAGCCCCTTTTTCAAGTCTGATGACTGGGAGACATTAGACACGTCTATAAAATAGTGACAAAGTGAAAAGAAAACACTTGGGCCGCAGAAAACATTTCTCGTTGTTGATTACAGTTTGATATTGACATTTTATGGCTGCAGCACTGCTGTGGCAGTTGCAACTGCAATTATGCACAAATTAAATTCACACGCTAACCCCGAAAGAAGGAGGTGCCAAAGGGGGAGTACGGCATGTAAATGTGTGCCAAAGACCCGCTGACAGTTGTCGCTTTTGTCGGAGGTGGGAAAAGAAGAGGGGGCGGGTGGCGGAGGTAAGTGGAACTGTGGGCGGAACGGGTTACCCACCAACAACAGCAACCACATCTGCAAGTCTGCACTTTGTCGCATTTAATTGCGAGCGTGTTGATTGCATTCAACTAGTTAGTGTTGGCATTTTGGGGGCGGAAAGAGGTGGGAAATGCGGGAAAGCTAGTGTAAAATGAAAAACGCTCGCAGAGATAGATATATCCTAATTGAGAATAAAAGTTGTGGGTGTTTTGAATGAAAGATGAAAGGCTTCCTTTTGTGCAAGTCCATAGTAAGAAAAAAGGTTTGTAAAAGATGAAAATTATATATGTTTAATGGCATTTAAGATAGATAACCATGGATTTACAAATTCCAATCTATCTTAGTGTGAAATAACATTTAACCAATTCATAATTAGTCATTAAAATATATGTAAATATTCTTACAATTTCATTTCTTATATTATTCTTTAAAATTCAAAGTTTAATTTGTACGATTATTTGTGACTTGTTACTTTTATGTATTTATTTTTGAATAGATCTGCCTGATAATCTTTCCAATAAATTGTACATTATCACGCATTTTTTCCTCACTTCAGATAGTAGAAACCTAATAATATTTATAATTAAGTTCTCCTAGAACAAATTAAAGCAAATTATCTCTAGTTTCTCTTTCACAGTGAAAAGTTTCCACCAAAAAATTAAATGAGGTACAGATACCCCCACATTTCCCTGGTTCACTGCCCCCGTTATTAACGCCACGCTCAAAAATAAATACTTAAAAATATGTCACGGTCAAAAAACTCCATCGAAATACATAAATTAAAAGCACAAATACGCATATCAATAAAAGTAAATACGAGAAATGAAAAGCGCGTTTAAACAAGTGAGTCGCGAAGACAAAAGCCCCGTTTACCTTGGCCGGCACTCGGCTGTCAATCAAACCTACAAATTTCCAAGCTGTTCAAGTGAAATTATCAACAGAGACGCCACGACGAAACGAAAATAAAAACAGAAATCCAAAAACCTCCAGTTGAGTGTCGTCGCCAGACTTCTGTTTGTGATAAGCGAAGGTGGCCAAGGCATTGGTAATAATGGTGATAGTGGATAGGAGGCCAAAAGAGTGATAAGCCAAAAATCGTTTGCCAAGATTTGTTGCCTTTTACTTGGCGGCTCTTTAATTGGAAACGATTTGCGATATATAAGCACACGCCTCGTGGTCGCACCAAAGTCATTCAACTTAAAGTAGAGAAAAGAAACGCGTACAGGTAAATCGGTAATATCATTCGATGGGCTTTTTATTGGCTATTCCAGCTTAGCCAGTCATGGTTTTAATTGAAATTTCAGCGAGCGAGTTCCGGAGGCAAAAGTTTATTTCGCTTTTAATTGGAAAAGTTACTGGTCCATACTTTAGCCCATAATGGGCCTTTGAAATACTCACTGGTCTGCCATGAAATATGTTCTGCGGCATATGGAAGGCCAGTCTGAATTACTGGTCAGTAAATTCTGCCCCATCCCCTATATTCAACGATTTGCAGCGATTTTTCACTTGAACTAATAGGAAAATTGTGCTCGACCTTTGATGGTTGTTGGGGTGCGTGTGAAATTCGGGGAGCTACTGTCAGGCAAGTAAATCAAAATTTATGTTTTCGCTTCTTTTTTCGCTACCCCTCGTAAATGTGGGGTTTTTTTTCGAACAGACAGCTGTCTTGCGGCTGTCAAACTAACAAGTTTTGGTGCTCCCCTCTTTCGATCGCTATTACCCACCCTCGTTTTTTTTTTATATCTAGGGATGTCTGGCCTGTCTGTTGTCTGTCCTTTCTATTGTCTTAGCCATGACAGTTATTTGGCTTGGGCACTTTCGGATACGTCAGCTAATGTCAAAGTTTTGCGCTAGACTCTCTCCTCTGAGGAAACATTTATTGCATAAGGTGCATGCTATCTATTGGGGTAGAGTAAGTTTATGGCTCACTTTTTATGAGGGAATCAATTGTTGACAGCAAACATATTATTGGGTGGAGTAAACATTAATTGGTTCTGCAGCAAGTGATATAATAGATAAGGAATAGATACACAGGACGGACAAGGTGTTGATGTGTTTTTATTGCAGAAAGATGAAAGGAAAAGCCGTTAAAAAAAGAAGACATATTTCTAATATTAGTGATAAATTTTATGAAGAGCTTAAAACTTCAACTTGTAGCTTTTTAAGGTTTTATAACTATTTATAAATGTATATTTATTTGTCTAATGACAATTTTAAAATAGTTTCATAATTGCAAATATAAAAATAAATAAATAATACAAAATTGAATTACATTTCTTTTCGATATTAAAGTGTAATTGTCTATGAGCTTTATTAACTTATAAACTTCCTTATGTAATCTTGATTTTCGGCACATGACGAATTTCTTTTGGCATATTTCTTTTTTGGGCCTGGCCCACTTGAGCAGTTTTGGAGTGCTGTCTCCTTCACTGCTTACCTCACTGTACTGCCGTCTCTCTTCCACTTGCGGCGCCACCTCCTTCACCCGGTGCACCTCCTTGAGTTAAGTGCTTGTGACACTTGCCTCTCAAGGCTTTATGACAGGCGATGAAATTTTATTTTGGCAAAAGTGTGACAAACTGAAAATGACAAAGTGCTCCGCTTCGAACCAGCTGCCACAGCCAGGCTTTAAGCCAGAAAGAGAAGGGGTCAGCACGAGCGACAGAGCGAGCGAGAGGGGCTAAAGGTTAGGGTTTAAGCGGGCAGAGGACAGCGATGTAAATTAAGTTTTAAATAATCCACATCGAATGGGCCTTACTCGGAATTAGTCACAGCACCGGGTCCCTGGAGTACGTGAACCGAACGGGCGACTTTAGTGGGTCAGTGGAGAGCCCCATTGGGTTTACTCGAATGCGCAACTAAATGCGACTGGAGTTGCATGTGGCACACACCAATAAGTATAAGTACACTGGAAGAAATAAGTAACTGTGGTATCTTCTCATTTCTTATTTTAATGCCTCTGAGATTTTAAAACAGAATTTACAGAATGTTTAAACTTAATATAGAAACTGCTAACTAAAAACATGGGTATTAAGAAACCCATAGACTGAATTAATCTCCCCCGATCAATATTACTTTCATATTATAATTTTTGCCTGTGCGCAGAAATATCCGAGAATGGAGAAACAGCATCGCTTATGCATAATGGCCCATGCATATTTAAATTGCCTTAGCCCGATGCTGCAGTTGGTGCCGCTTTAAAAGCAAATTACTTTTGTCATTGCACTGGCTTGCCGCTCAATCTTGTGGGGATTGCTGATGCTGAGGGGCTAAGGACGGAGGGGATGGGCCAGAAGGAGGTCCTTGCGTAGCCACTTATTGTGGCACACTCTGTTGTGGATGCTATAATAATTTGCCTTGGCAACGGCAGCAGCAAACTGCAGCAAAATCAGAAGCAAGAAAGGCGGCATCAACAAAACGAATGCAAAATCCACCCGCACAAAACTTAATAATAGCAAACTATTATTCTTCAACCATCCAGCTTTGTGGACAGTGGAATAAATGGGATTTAATAGGAAAAACGATTAAGTATTCGATTTGGAGAAGGCTCCAGCTTTTGTGTTGAACTATTGATATTTGCAAAACATTACATATTTGAGTAAAGAACTAAGGAATTGTGATTCAAATTAAGAAGTTTATAATTCATACTTAAATTTCTTAAAGATTTTAACCTCATATATTTTAGTAAACAGCTCCATATTATTTTTATGTTTTGAAAAAAGAAACAATATTATTTAAATTTTATTTTGTATAAACATCGTTTTTATAAAAGAATTACACCTGATGCTTGACTTGATTTCATTTTCTCAAACTCCCACTGTTTCTTTGCTAAATCGAAGACGCCATTTTCTACGCTGACGGCTCTCGGTGCACTGTTGCGTGTACCGGAAACGGAAATGCGCACATAATTCTGTTAGGAAGCATGCAACAAAATGGCGCCCAGACCACATCCGAACGGAGAGAAACACGACGGAGGTCCAAGAGGGCGGAGAAAAACTTTAATTAAATAATACTAAATGCAATTTCGCATGGCTCCTCGTCGGTAAATAAAGCTGAGGAAGCAAAACATGTCACAGAAGTTCATGGCTGAGAGCATCTCTCCTGGCTAATTTATTTTGCTATTTTCTGTTTATTCGAACAGTAGAATTGGTAGAGTCGACCACAGAGCAGCGAAACGAGGCAAGAGAAAAGCAAAGTAAAAAAAAACTTTAACCCCGAAACTTGTTTTCAAGTCACGTTCATTTTCAATCAAGTGGCATCATTATGCTGGCCAAACAAACTGAAACTGAAATAAAAATCGCAAGGAGATAGAAACCGGGGACCAGAAAGAGGAAGAGCCACCACAATTGGCTAATACAATGGCAGAATTAGCCCGGACTTGTAGAGTGTGAGTGTGTGTGGCCAATGCCAATACTGCCTTCCTTTAACCCTTTGCTGCCCCAGCTGTCAGTCAAGTCCGGCAATCAGTCCTTTGTCTAGGCCCACGGACCGGCAACAAATTACCTTCGAGTCAGCTGAAACCGAGCCACCCAAAAACCACAGAACCCACTTAGCTAGGTGGCCAACCATCAACTTCCTGTTCAAAACCAGAAAAGAGAAACAGAAGTTAGTACAGAATCAGATAAATCTGCGGGGAATCGCACAAAAGAGCAACGAAAGTCGATAGGAAGAAAAAGAAGCATTGACATTTTGGCATTTATTTGATGAAAATTGTTTGATTATAGTTCGTAATTAGTTTTTGGCAAAACTTCGGAGAAATCGAATACCTACACCAGTGGCTTCGAAATTCAAACACACGGAGTTTATTATGATTTGATATACCAAAAGAAGTTTAAGCACCTCAATAAATGTAAAGTTTTAACAAACAAATTAAGAACTTAAATTTAAAAACGTTGGCTTTTTCAAAAAGGTAATTAAAATAATTAAAGTGTCGTGTCTTTAGCAGGTGTTTATTTTTAACCACCCACTTACTTAGCATCGTGTTTAATCAAATTCTAAATCTCAAGGTAAATTAACTAAGCTCACAGATACATTAATTAAATTGAAGCATTTCACAATTGGTTGAAAATCCTGGGACAGTACAAAAATGTCCATTAAGTAAGTATTACGACTATTTTGCTAATTTCAGCAGCTCGAATTACGTCAGAGAGGTACCATTAAGTCAAAAGTGGTATATGTGCAATCAATGAAAATAAATTAAAACCCATTGGTTAGAGAAAAATCACACATACACAACGATTAAAAAGAAAAACAGAACAAAACTTTATGCAAATGCTGTGATCACCACGAAACCGATTCAACCGGTTTCCGAATGCGTTGCAAATCTCAAAACCAAAACAGCAAATGACAACAGACAAGTATACAGATGGACACATGGAAACACGACCATAAAAAAGTAACGACTCTAAGATATAAGATATATACATTTATTACTAAAAAATTATATGTTTTGCGTTTAGCCGTGAGTAACACGAGCCAAACAACTTACCCCTTTCGCTCTGCTCTCGTGTTGCTTAGAACCCAGTGCAGCTCAAACTGTAGGGTCGGACATGTGGTTGATGGCTGTAATGAAATAATTAAAAAGAAACAGGTTATTAATATGTAATTACTTTTATTTATAAGCTTATTATAAATGTTAATTTACGGATGTTGAATAAAGTGGAATTAAATTTAGTAATAATTTATTTTAATACTATTATTACACCTGTAAACACATTGTTTTATTATTATTGTGATTGCCATTTAAAACATGTATTAAAATTTAATGATTTGTTTATTTTTGAGGACAATAAAAATCAAAGGATTCTCCTTTTATAGAATCGAATGTATCAAATATGCTGTCCCTTTTTATAAGGCATCTTCGTGTCGACTATTTTCCTTTGCCTGCCTCAACTTCGCTCTTTTGATTAATTTCTATTTAACGTGCAAATATTTTTTCTGTCAATTTTCCCAATAAATGCAATTTATATCTCCAGCCAACAGCAGCAGCTCTGGCAGGGTACTTCAATACTTTACGTCTGGCGGAGACTCCTTCCACGTCCTCTTCCTCGCGGTTTTTTGCTCCTTCGTGGCCACAGGCCCATCAATCATACGCCATGTAAGCAGCCGAGAGCAGCAGAGGCGCACAATCAAATCAATATCAGAGTGATTGGGTGGCCTTCGGGGGAGTGGGGAAAGTTGCGGGGTTGTGGGTGTGCAACGCCCACAACACAGATCATAAAAATTGCATTTGCCAATTTTCAGTCCAAGCCAATACAGCCACCAATCGAGGATTCGATCTGGCCAAGTATATGGCTAGTGGGCAAATTAACCAAAAGTCACTTGCCGTACACTTGTGTATCAATTGTGAATTTAAAATTTATTACTAGTTTGTCAGCCACTGAGAAACCTATGAATCAAGACAGCTAAATCTACAATTTCATAGTTTGCTGGCCATAACAAATTCCCCTAATTTCGTTGGAAACGCTGGTCTTTCTTAAATAAACAAAACCACTCCAGCTTATATTAAGTTATGTAAACAATCGGCTTTCCAAGAATTTTCAAGTGGTTGTTTTCCGTTGTGTATCGGCGAACTGGTCGCACAACTTATGGCAGACACTGTCGTCTGTAATTATTGTTTGGTTATTGTTGCTGCTGTCTTTGACACCAAAACAACTCTGTTAAAAGATCTCACTTCGGTTTAGCGACCTCCCTCTAATAACTCAATTTCGGTATCGGCTTGGACGTCGCCATTTGAATTTATTGACACATTTCATTTACCCAGAATCGTTGGCGGCAGAATGAGTTTTGGCCAGTAATTAAGCCCGATGACGAACCCAAAAATGTCTCGAAACGATTTTGTAACTTTAGCGTTAGCCTGCCTGTTAGCTGCCTTTCATGGACCGAAAACTTGGCCTGCTGACTGGCCGAAAGCCAAAGCCGTTGGCAGAAAACCCACCATAACTGGTCGGAGCAAATGATTTTTAATAACTTTGACACTCATTAAACTCAAATTACATGCATTTGATTACGCAGCCACATGGGAGTCGAGAGTTGGCAGCCTTTTGCATTTGGGGTTTTCTAAACTTAAGCCGCTTAGGTTTCATCATCATCATCATCAAAAACCATATGACAGCACAGTAGGCTTATGATGAGGATGATGCAGTGAGGCAGCCTAATAAATGGCTTTTAGAGTGGTGGGGGAATTTAAATTGTGTTTACTAAAATACCATGCATTAAAAGTTCGTAAAGAGAAGTAGCCAGATATATTACTTTAAAAACAGTTAAATAGTATAAGAATTAATCGTTAAATAAAGCTATAAACAGCTTTATATTAGCCCTTAAAATCACAAATGGTAAATGTTGAGTGTGTTGAAATACCCAGAATTAAGCTGTATATCTAAAATCCTAATTCACCAGGCTTAAATTAATTTAAACGCCAAGAACCCGAATCAAATCGAGGATTTAATTAGCCATTAATTAGCCCAGAGCTCATTGAACCGTAGGCACAAAGAATTCAATCCTATAAGAGCAAGCCATAAAAAACTCATTAAATCAAAAGTAAAATTCCCACACAGCCCAGCGCAACTCCCATGAACTCCCATCAGAGGAAAAACGGATGGTTTGATGGATTAAGACGCCTGCAAATTAATTACTCACTTTGTCTTTGGACTCTGACAGGTAATTCCCGGGCCCTTGGAGTAACCCTGAACTTGACATCTATGAACTGCAGCCCTTTCCCCTCGGCCAAGTGCTAACTTCTTTTTAATTGCCACTGGTCTTGGCCAGGTCTCGTTCTGAGCCGCAATCGTTAAAAAACCTAGTTTACGACTCGCGAACTCTGCACTTCCCCTCCGATTGGAACGTGCTTGCTAAGTAAGTGCCATCGGCAGCTCATAGTGTTCACTGTACCAGGTCTTTTTTGAAAAAAAAAACCAAAAGGGAAGTGCACCACGAAAATCACTTTGTTGGGGTTTCTTTTACTGACTCACAGTAAGCTCCGCAATGGATTGGCTTAAAGACTCACCAAGATCTGCGAAATGGCACGAACTTGTTGTTTTGAAAGTGCCGAGCAACAGAAGCTACAACGAGTGCTAATGGAAATTCCGGAATGCGGCTGCATAATTCTTGCATTTTATACTGCAACGACTGCCACACAAGAAAACTTTTTCAATTGTGGCAAAACTTAGGTTAAAATCACCATAGAACTTCAATTAGTGTGTGCTGATTTATGATTTCATTTGCAGAACGCTGAAATTGGAATACATTTTAAATACATTTTTAAAATATAACTAACACCTAGCAATCAAAGAAAACCACTGCTAAAAACCATGGTAATTTCTTTTGAAATGTATCGTGAAAATGTATTTTTAACCACAATACAACATTTAGCTCCAATTGTAAGCCAACTGAAATTCCCACAAAATTACAAGCCAATAAAAGAAATTACCCACGAATATGGGAATGCACAATTTGCCTTTTAGCCCCTAGAAAGATATGGAATGCACGAAAAACTATCCAATTAAATCCAATCGACACTTGCCACAAAACTCTAAGAAAAGGCAACCAAAACAAGGCAAGCTCAAAGTCAATAATCAGAAGGAGGAAAAGCGGGAAAAAGACGACACCGTTAGCCGAATGACATGCAAAGTGCAGCTGCTTTTCGCGCGGGGAAAACTCAAGGGGGGAAATTCGCAAGGGGTGTCATTGCACATGTGACACGAACAGAGGGCAAAAGAAAAGCCAGAAGCAGAGATTGATTCTCGCCGCGTCACGTGGGAAATTTTCAAGTTCAAAGCAATTTTCCAAGGAAGAAGAAGGCAACTGTAAAAAGCACAATACCCGAGAGGAGGTAAAAATAAAAATAAGCAGCGTGCACTCACGTGAGACTTGATAATAATCGGATTTGGGAAATCGTGAGGCGAGACAACATGGAAAAGAGGGAAAACAGCGGGCCACCAGGAAAATACTAAAAATACAAATAAAGCAGACCGAATAGCCACTTGTATCGATTGCAGAAAGGCGGGGGAAAAAAGCAAAAAAAAAAAAAACAGGTTGAGGGTTTCCGGAGAAATGCCAGCTATCCATCCATCCATCCCAGGTGAGTTCTCTTCTGCCCCTCTGAAATCCACCTTAATGGATGGCCTTCGTCTCGAACAGTTAGAATTAATTGACGTTAATAATGTTCCGATATCAAGATTTATACTCATCAAACGGCTTCTGTGCGAAGAATTCCCTGGAAACCTGTTCAAGCGGTTCTTTTCATTGAGCATTATTTTTAGAAGACACAAAAATAGTTGACAATTTGTCGGAAAAAAGCTATATTTTATGATGTAGAATACAATGTTTACGAACCCTGAGCTCTGCTAATGATGATTTCCGTCCATTATCTTGGCGGAATAACTGCACACATTACCATCAGCGGTGTGGAAATATTAGGATAAACCTCAATTTACCTGCAATTTGTTCAATGACAACCGATAAATATTCAATTTAATGAAATTGCATTTACGTTCGCAATCGCAAAACCACTTGAACCACTTTCGCCCACTCATCTTGATTGCAATACTGCACCCACCTGCCGTCGTCTCAATATTTATCTATTTTTTTTCTTTCTGACCGAGAAAGCCATTAACTTGGCCATCCATAATTTTTTAATTTGAAAACTTTTGCCAGTGAATGCCGAGTGAGTGGGTGAGCGGTACACTTGATTTAAATAACCCAAAGCTGTCGCTTGATTTGCATATTAAATTCAAATCAGTACAACTTTATGAAGAAAATTGAATGTGCCAAAATCCCTAAACCTCTTGGGATAAGCTGAATTGAAATTGCAAGTGTGTTTACTTCTTCTTTTGAGGTTTTTCCAGTTTGCATCTTAGATCTTCTCGCTTTTGAATTTCACTGCATTATTCGCATTTGATAAACAGTGACAAAATATATAAGATTGAACCTAAATTGCAAAGTTAGGTCTAAAAGAAAAACACTCACAACCAAATATTACAACATTGATAATATCAATTTGATTAGTATTTAATTGAAACTTATAATAATTTTTAAATTTCTAATTTGAGGATTTTTCTCTGTGTGACAATTTTAGCTCCATTTACTATTTGAGCTCCTACAAATCCCCTATTCTGCTTCGGGCCTTTGTAGCTCCTTTGGCCAAAGTCCTGCGGGCTTCTGTTCCCTTTCAGCTATTCCAAGTTTCACATCCTTATGCATTTTTAAACAATCGCTAACCCAAATAAAGTTTCTTGCTTTCTGTTTTCATATTTACGGCTTCTCCCAGGAGCCAAACAAAAAGCAGTGCACACAACTAGGAGCTTTGGCCGAAAGAAAAGTGTGTGTGTAAGTGGTAGTGGCTAAAACCTGAGAGAAGTAGAAGTATCTGCTTTTTAGGGCAAACCGAACTTTATAAATTGCGGGCCCAGAGTGGCAGTAAATTTATTATCTCGATCTGAAAGCGTGTATCAGCGGTATCAACTCCGCCTTGTTCTTGCCGATTTCTGATTGAATGTTGTTTGAAAATTCCTCCGTTGGCTGGTAAATAATAACATGGAATTTACTTCCCAGTGGCAACTTCT